GACCGACTGCCTCTATCGGCGCCTTTCCATGCGAACAGTGTCCCCTCGACCGAGCTCAAGAGTCCTTTGAACGAGAGCACGACGGGAACTATCCCCTTTGCGATCGCGGGCTTCGCGTACTAAGGTTTTTCTTTTTGACTCCTCGCTCTGGCAATTAGAGTGGAATGGCTTGCCTTTGGTGTGTTCCGGATTCTCCATTCCTTTAACAGCAGGCTTTCCTTGTCTTTACTGATTAGTGAAGGATCTCTCGACCGCATCGGCCTCAGATCTGTCGGGGGAAAAGAATGACCGCGGAGGCCATGGGCTCGTCAGTCTACTCTCCTTCATTAATTTATCTCGTGAGGAGCGTATCCAAGTAAGTGAACTCGGTTCAGAACAGACATCCGACGGAACACATGCTTGTCGAGCGCGTCGCGCCTTGATTTTTCATTGTTTTTAGCTTCTTGGCGAGTTTTCATGAACTTACTCCTCGCTCGGTTTTCGTGCAAGTCGAGAACAGCTACACCAAACGTCCTTGGGATTCTTGTCATACACACATTCATCTCTTTAGGCGCTCGCTGCTTCATTAAGTACTACATACACCATCACGCAGCGAGCCGCGCTCCATGAACCGAGTCGCCTTATTCATGAGCAAATATTCCGGTTTGATACCGCTCAGTAGGTATCCGATACAGGATTCGGTCGTTCTGATTTTTCCCACGCTCGCCAACAGGACATCGTGACCGCGTACGGCGTCGACCAGGCGAACTTTCTGCTCTGCCGGCCTGATTCCAGGCCAGGTCTTCCTAACCTGTAGGAGTGCCCAGGGCTGTTTTCGCTAATGAGACAACCGGGCATCGGCACAGTTCAAAGGAAGAATCGACAACGATCATTCAAGGGGAAAGTCTCTAATATTGTCACGGCCTTCCGAGCTCCCTCCTGTGAACGGTTCCGACCGCAAGGACGCTATACTAAAGGGTCTAGTAATCGCGAACGCTTCTGTAGAAGTGTCGTACGTTCGAGAGTCAAGTAATGGGAGCTTTTTCTCGACGCAAAAGAAATTGCAGGCACAGTTGTTGAGATTTGCCGAGCACTATCCGCCGAATTCTTCCAGAGCTTGCATATCTAGACGTATTCCGGCGCCATCATAAGGGGAGCTCGGAGCCTGAATAGCATCGAGCTCCCAGGAAAAAAGAAGACTACGAATTCAAGTGGAATGAATTTTGAGAGCAGCCAAACAACGCTGAGAGCTTTCATTTTTATGAAATGAGCAAACGCGAAGAGAATTCTTTATGGTAAACAGTCGTCTACAGGAAAAGAATTCCGCGGTCGAGCTGGGTTGCTCAAGAGACGAGGTTTTCACTTGCGTCGGGTTAAGACGATTCCCTCAAAGGACTCCGGTGTTTTGGTACTATCTTCCGCCGCTCTTTGAAGACAGTATCGAGTTCCCTCGCTCCAGATATTCTGGACCTAGAGTCCCGTGCATTCAATCGCATCGGACAGCGACCGCTCGTAATCGTGGTCGAGGAAGACTTTCCGGATGGATCGAGCTCGACGCGCTCAACCGACAGTCAACGTTTCGCTCACCTGGAAACAAGAAGAGGATATTTAGTACATTAGTCCTTCCAAGTCAAGAGCCAGGTCCTTAGGTACTGCGGAAGGTTCTGAGACAGTCGACTTCGAAGGCATAATGATTGAAGTCGAACCGCCAGGGACTCATTGTCCAAGAGGACCGCAATCCAAGACGACTACCTGCTGTTGCTGCGCACGCTGCCGCTGGCCCACGTCTCGATACGGGAGGGGAGGCGGGGCGGCGGCGATTGAATCATCGATCGAAGGGTTGTCGGCGCCGTCATAAGTTCTCCGGAGCTGTCGATATTTTCCGTGTTCTCTCTGAGGTTTTGAGTTTGAAGGTTGTTGGCCGTGCAAACTTCACGCGCTCCAACCGCGGAGAGCTCAAGCAAACCACGAACGACTATCGGGATACTTTCCCGACGAGTTGTGGAAAGGGCTCGCACCTGCAGGTCCAGGGAGCGGGAACCTAAGACCTGAAGTCTCCGATTTCCAGAGGTGCGCTGCCCTACTCCTGGTGGCCTGAGCTCCCCGAGCGCTGCCCGTGCCCTTGAGGCTACTCGGGACAAGGAAAATCAAGTCTCTCGGACAGCACTCCAAGCATGAGCGGTTTTGGAGAATCTCGCTTAGGCCGGGACTATCGTCTCGAATCTCCGTAGCGCGGCAACGCCATTCGGGGCAGTGTCCTTAGACAGACTTGAGCATGGGAAAACCCGACGTACCGTAGAGAGACTTCCATCGGATTTCACTCCGTAACATTTGCAGATTATCAGAGAATCATGCCGGTCCCTGAACTGAGAAGAACAGGAAGGTCGGGCTTCCATCCCGAATGCGGTCTTCAGTAGCGGCGCCAACCCCACAGGTATCTGTGATTGTAAGGAAGCAACTATGATCGGGATGACGAGGGAATTCCGAGAGGACGCTTGATTCAGAGCTTTTATTTACGTAGCGTCGAATATCGATGCATCGCCCGCAGCCTCCGGGGAATGAAACCCTGGAAAATATGAGCAAGTCCCACACAAAACGCGTTCAGCGTATGGAATTCGGCCGAATTCCCCCTTTGGCCGATGTCAATGCCTCTCGTTCGGCTCATATTGAATGACGCCGAGCCGGCTGGCGCGTCTAACCAATGATTCTCGAGTTCTGAATCAGGAGCGCAGCGGTCGGTGCTCTGCTTTGTGCAGAGCAGCTGCTTCGAAACATCGACGTTCTGAGCTGCATCAAGCTCAGACAAATCCAATGAAATTCATCTCTCCGAGTCTGCCTCGATTCTTCCAGGCTTCAATAGCCGCGATTCCACGCGGACGATGATATTTGAGCCATTTCCGAGCGAGCAAACGAACGGACCCTCTGCTGAGAGAAGCACTCAGCGCCGTTGTGCAGGGAGCCTGATGATGTGATGTACATACATTGAAAAGAGCATCGTCCGAAAATCCTCTGCGCACTACGTGAGCAGTCTGAACCCCATTAAGTTCGGTGAGATAAGATGAGATTCCCACACGACGATGTCGTTGCGTCACCGGAGACTCGTTGAAGCGTCCGTCGAAGTAATGGGAGAACGGTGGATCTCCACGGGTCCCTCATTTCTGGGTCATTTATTCATTATTCCGTGTAGGTAGTATGGAGTCGACAGCTCTGCGAGACGAGTTGAGTTTGTCAACCTCATTCACTGGAAGTTGAAATGTCACTCTGGCTCTTTCGTAGCTCATTTGAATGAATAATTCATTGTTGTTGGGAAAGTGGAGACTGAACAATCCCGAGTTCCAGTGATAAAAGCGCAACGATTTAGACGATAGCGTCGCATGTAGTCTCACGGCAAGCCATTCGAAAACTGCGCCTCCCGAGAGCTCTAATGGCAGACCGAGATCCTATCGCTCGGACTGCAGTGTTTCCATTTCCAAGGTGTCGACCAGGGATGTGTTCCCGAAATGGGATCGCTCCTCAAGAATTATGCATCGCTTCATACGCCAGAAAAATAGCATGGCAATGTACGCGGGATGCAGTCCTCGGATCACGACTAAAGTTCCACCCCCCTTCCATAAGTTTTGGAGGAATTTCTTCCATCGATAGGGGACAGAGACACATTATATCAATGCCCCTGATCGCTGCTTCAAGGAGAAGTCGACTCCTTCCGGAAAACGTGTCATCGAACCGAGAGACGAGGCTCGTGGACGCTAAACGCTTATGGAACTCCGAAGAAACATCTGGTCGAGAGATATCCAGAGCGAGGCAGAATAAGCTTGACAATCATTGCTCGGTGATATCGATCGAAGTCGAGACGCCTGTAATGACCTCGACCAGCGTTAGAGAAATATCCAGGGCAAGTAATATTCGAGAATCGAGGAAAATGCAGCCTCAAATCCAGGAGCATTCTTCATGAATCTCTATGCTGCGAATCCTTTGTCTATCGTTGATTGGAGCGACGTAGGAGCAAGGAAATATCCCTTTCTCATTTTCGAGTGAGACGACGCTATCAAATACGAGTCATGCTGAATTGACAGTCGGGAAGTGATTTCGATCTGTCCAAAGTGCAAAGTCTACGGGAATACTGGTCGATGACGAATCGTGCTGTTCAAACAGGCTACGGGTACCGTTTTGCCGGCGCGGCGTTGCCTCGACCGAATCACACGAAGCCAGAAGTTCCGTCCGGCGACCAAGTGATAGAGGCGACCCGTGAAGAAATTCCGGTGCGCTCTCCGATTGGTTTCATTTATCTCATCCCGGACGGGAAGCAGGCAGCTCGAGTCGGATGAGTCATAACCGCAGGACTTCCGATCGTAAGGTGCGAGCGAGTGAGCGTGATCTCGCCGACCCTGAACTGGGCGTATCGGTGACCCTTTGGCTAAGTCACCTCGATAAGTAATAGTAAGACGATCTCTGAGCAGTAGATGCCTCTCCGTCACTATCTGTCCATCCATCCGTCCGCCCGTCTCTTGATCAATTCCTGCCGCTATTGGCGATGGGAAATGCCTGAGACCGAGTGGTATTTTCAGAAATTGCGGGAGAAATCTCAAAATGATCGATTTATTCCGAGTGGCTCGAGCATCGCAAGTCATGGCGCCACAAGTCATCAGCCTCCCATGGAGCAACGAGCAACGAATCAGGCACGCGGGGGGAAATTCGCCGACCATGATGCTCTCTGGTTTATCGCTCGGGATATCTTTGCATGGCTCACGAGAAGTCTGGGATATCTGGCTCCGATAATAATGATCGTCCCGCTGACGTCCCAGAAAGCACAATATTGCAGCAACACTCGATTACCAAGATCCGAGAGCAGTCTATAGTTGATTAGCCAATATGTATGTACATTCCGTGAATATGCCCTTATCCGACATCGAGCAATCGCTGTCTGGAGGGATTCTCCCATCTGGGTATCGCCGAAAGCTCGCGTATCGATCGAGATGAGAGTACCGGGCAAGAATTTCACTGCTAGATTTGAATGAGCGGAGGCGAAGGTAATCCCTCTCCATCCGCGTCGGCAAGATAACGGTTGTGCACTCAGGCTACATAAGGGGGCGCTTTGACGTTGGCACGACTCTTGAGATACTCAGCACGGCGACCCACCAGAAGCAAAATGGTTGAAGCACTTGTTGGAACCTGGAAGCTCGAGTCTTCTGAGAACTTTGACGAACTTCTCAAAGAGCTCAATGTAGGCTTCATGGTGAGGAAGGTGGCTACGAGCTCCAAACCCAACGTCGAAATCTCGAAAAACGGGGACGAATGGTAAATTGTGACGCCAGATATTTTCTCACTTCGGATCGCAAGCCCGTGAAGTGTACATCTCATTCGATCGTGAGGATCTGATTCTGATTCCGAGGGAATATCGGTGTCTCATGTGAAGCTTCGGTGTTCGAACCAAATCAGTGCATGTCCGTTCAATCGACGCTCGCGTTTAGCTAGGGTGGCAGTGTTCATTGAATTCGAGGGGAATCGATTTCTGCTTCGCATCGTCCCGGACAGTATCAGATAGAATTACCTATAGAAAATCTGCTTCGAGCGCGTTCTCTGAGGGTGTCGAAAGTAGGCGATCGATAGCGTGCCCGTCCTCCTCGATCGTCTTATCTGCTTCCGTCGATCATGGGACCGGTCATTGACGGCGGAGAGCTCCCGAGCTTGGAGTCGAGCATTGTTCGGTGCATTAGAGTCTTACTGGACGATCTCATTCGCGGAAATTCAGTTTCCTGACGATTTCTTTTCTCGAAGGACAATCAAGACCATTTCACTCAAGACCACCGAGAGCAAATTCAAGATCGGCGAGGAGTTCGAGGAGCACAAGGCCGACGGCTCCAAGGGGAAATCCACCTTCACCATCGATGGAGACAAGCTGGTCCAGAAGTCTGACAACCAGGGGAAAGAATACTTCACCACTCGGGAAGTCGAGGGCGGAAAGCTGAAGGTCACCGTTAAGGCTGGGAACGTCACTTGCATCAGGACCTACGTCAAGGCTTAAACATGAATTGATCGCCCGCGAGTGATCCCGAATAAAGATAATTTATTGAATGGACCTTGAAATCTGAGAAATCGTTCCCAAATCACACCATATCGGAGTACCATTGTCGAACTCGAAGCCAGTCTACCATGGCTTGCGCAAGATAAGATGGACCGATCATCAGGATGATTGAGCGAAGAAGCGAGAGGAGCCCGGAGCGAGGTAGGCTGCCGATCCGAGAGATACCCGATCGAATGCGAGTCATCATAAGAGAGACCGATGTTCACGTTGCATATGTTTTTCCCCTATTCAACAGATCAATATCATCGGGGTCTCGGTTCGCTTCCTCCTCGGCGGATCGATATTGTCTTGTAGCGGACTACCTCGCCTCTCGTCACCGCTAATTGTTCGAGATCATCAGTTCCGCGATTCCGCCTGATATAAGCTCTCTCATTCCAACGTTCTGATAGGACGATATTCTTTCCTGGTCTCAGAGACTCAAACGCGGTCCGCGCTAATCCGTGGCTTTATCGCGTCGGATAAAAACTCTGAATGGTGTGGACTGTTGTCCGCGTACCGTGCTCGGGACGTCCAGAAGAGTCTAAATAGAAGACCAAGTCGGACGGTGAGGCTTCGAGTCCGCGGGACCGTTCGAGTGAATGAGGTTTCCGCGCTCGGCGCAATTGTGTGCGTTTTGTGAGAGAAATTATGATATCAGGAGAGGCTTCACTCATCCCAACAGTACACAGCTGTGCAGCTCTGCGCATCACGAGAAGAGAAGAACAACTCGGATGAATGAATAAAAACGGCCTAATAGCTGTTTTAGCCCAGCCTCCAGACAATAGCGTCGACGACAGTGGGAGCATACTGAGAAGGAGTCTCCTTAGACTCGAAAGATCTCAAGGCTACCCGGCCTCAAAAGTCCTCAGCTGCGCGAATTAAAGCCAGGCGCGGCGATGCACAGTGCTGATAACGCTGTTGGAGCAAAAAAAAATCAGGAAAAATGTAAGAAGGACCGAGTTCGAAGAAGTCAGAGGCAAGAGAGTGGAGCGAGGAAGACAGTGGGTCTGGATGATACCCGCAATGATGTTTGATGGTGATAATAAAACTGATGATGACCATAATGACTATGGATTCGCAGTGTTCCCGGCTTCTCGAGCAGCTGTTCTTCACGCTTCATGTAGAGTGTTTCCTCATCCACTTTCGCCGGCTGCTTCGCGCTCGTCCGGTGTAAGGAGCCGACTCCCAAGAGGATCTTCCTTCTCCACTCGAAAGAGATCTGTGACTTCCTCTATCTTTAGCTTTCTGGTTTTTCCTCGTTCGTTTTCCGAACCGCCCTCGCCCCCAGTGGCATCTCCTGATACCGCTACTGCTATCTCCGAGGACCGACAGTCGTCAGCTCTCCAGTCAGCATTCGACAAAATCGTTCTTCGTACCCTTGCTTGTCACGCGGCTATTCCCGTTGTTCCTCCGCCAGCGGCGGTTGTCCTTCCTCCTGTTTCTGCTGCAGGTTGTTGTATTGGGTTGAGTTAATTAATCCACGGAAGGACAGACGACCGGGCAGGCAGAACGGCCGACGGGTGGACAGTCGAACGGACGAAGGAGCCGACACACACCAACGAACGGAGGGAAGGAAGGCTGGCAATCAATATTCGGTGGCGGCCAGTGTGGATGACGCGTTGGTGACGGCGGTGCTCGCCGCTCAGTGAGCTCTGCAGAATACCGTAACAGATTGGGGGCCTTGCCAAGTCACCGCTCAGCGGAGGCGGGTCTAAGGCCAGGTCGACCCTGTCGTACAGAGTGGGGTCAGAATCCCGCCTCGGCATAGAGCTCAGAGGGAGAAAACGCCGACACACTGTCGATGTCCGGACACAGTTATTCGCGAAGTCCTCTTGAGCTCCTCCTAATTCAACCGTTTTCCTCGCGGAGCGTGTTCCCAGGAACGGACGTCCTTGACCGAGCCCGATAATCCCCGGTTCATTTGCTTCATTCTTATAGCGAGTTCCTCCTCGGATGTGGAATGCTTCCTAGCGAAGGGTCAGACACCTTTGAGCAAAAACGTTCATTCGTTCTATGTCACGTCTATCCTCGGATCTTGGCGGAAAGGCTGCGAGAACATTCGCGATCAGGTTGGAGCAATCTTCCTCTCCTCGTCGTACGACGAACTTCATAAAGATTATTGAGCTTCGCCCGTGCCGATAGATCACACTTTCGTTCGCTGGCATCTTTGCAACATTGACGAATACGCGCTGATTCAGAACTCAAATTGGATGACGGATGATCCTCGCTGGAATAGACTTGTCATATCGACGGAGCAATCAGCAGAGCATCGAGTCCGATTGTGGCATCTTACTCGATCACAGTCAACGATCCATTTCGTGAGAGCCTGATTAAGGCTGCTCGCACTCCGTGCAGAATAACTCGCAGCCACAATCCCCAGCTCTCGCATTGTGAGCAATGCTTCAATGTGTGATACAGATGATCTTCCGTCGGGACCTTCATGCCGGAAAATTCGCTTGAAGACAAGGCGGAACCCCATGCATCATCTTCTCGAATTCTCGCGTCCCGCAAACTTGATGGAAGGTCCCCTGGATCCATGAGCGAGAACCTCCGGAGAATAGGCGTACTGATAAACTGTTGCACTGCGGAGCGGGAATTGTAACGGAAATTCTCCACAATCATATCGAGTAAGGATCGGGGAATATTCTCGGATATGGTACAGACGCTCGGTGATATTCAGACACCTTTCGGAAGGGCTCGAATTCCGAGGCGACGACTTATGATGCACCCCTCGCTGGAAAGGACAGTCTCGGCAGTCGAAATGGCCGTCAAACGAGGTTTTGGCGGAACCGCGACGGTGCCCGGGAGGAGTGACATGACACTGACGATTTATCATTCTCTGTTAGTGGACGTCTTGACTGTTCGTATAATTCTTCCCTTCCATTTTTGATTTTTACTCGGCGAACGGATGAAGGGATCTCGCCGACAACGTCGACGGAGACAAGCACTCGGCATAATAAAATGTACCCGAAAACCTCGAGGGATGTGCGCATGCTCATCGTCGTCATCTTTTTCGACTATGAAATATCTGATGGATGTATGCGGTCCTTCCTGAAGTATATAACAAATTGCCACCGCCGCCGTCGGGAGTTTCTGCTGACGGCGGGCGATTCCTCTCGGAAGCAAAAGGACCGACATGTTGATCTGAGCTCTCCGAGGAATGCACACACAGCTTCTCGATGAGGGGGCACTGTTCACGGAACGGGCACGTCAATCGAACAGATGAATCCTCGCAAACCGAATCAGGACTAGGTGTGCTCAGCAGGCAGGAGTCATTAAATCTCTATGGGAAATCGCTGGAAGATTTTAATTAATTCTGACCCGGGTGACGCCGTGCCGGAGACACGCTTCTCTCGAATGAGATATTTGCGGTAACGGTCAGCAGTTCTCTTCGTGGCGTGTATCGATTTTTTTTCGTTTGATAAGCATTCCACTGGAATTGAAATCCCTGAGAGTGTGGAACATGCGAAGTTTCACCGGATTGGTTCTCTCCCATACCCCCCCTGCGGACCAGAATGTGGGTGGGAGGCACTGGATGGCCGACAAGAGCGGAAGAAGTGAGCCATTCAGTGTTCAGGTGAAAACTGCACATGCTTCTTCCGCATGCGCATCACGCTGCGGAAAGCAGCGAAAGTTTTCTACATCGGTATACGCACCTCACTGAGCGTGCTGGTCGACTGGCCCGTCGGTCCGGCAACGTTTTTCCTAATCATTTTTCATCCAGCTGCCGTTTCTACCGTTTCCTCCCCACTCGCTCCGTACGTCCGCTTGTCCGACCATTTGGCCATGCGACCATCCGTCCTGCTTGCCGACCGAGCGAACGCCAAGCGGTCGGAACGTAGACTACGAGCCTGGCCCACCGACTGACCCCCCGACAGAGGACCCACGGACCGACCGACCACCCAGCCACCCACTCAACGTAGAGCGAGACTGGGCGCCCGCGAAAGAAGGAAAGGGAAGAAAAGAAGACAAGACGGCGCGGCGTGTCACCGAAACGGTACCATGGTCGTAATCAAAATGCAGGACCACCGTCGACGTCGCCGTCTTGCCGTCTGCCTTGCGCCTCCGTTCGTTTTCTTCGTTCGTCCCGCCAACTACGTGAGCATCGGATAGACACGCGAAGGAATGAGCGCACGCACGCTCTGACGCTGGGACGCCAGCGGTTGGAACACTTTGAAATTTCCGAGATCTCATTCAGCTGGCTGGGGTGGATCTTCGCATATTTTGCCGGTACTCGTTGATTCGCTCTTCTCCCGTGTTCATTGGCTAGGCATTGCAGACTCGACGCAGGCGACATTTGCGCTGGAGTTCAGACCGGGGTCCCATTATTGCTGCTGAACCGCTTGATTCCAGACAGCTCAGCTGCTCGAATCGCTTCCGGTGCTCTCATGGGGAAAACAGAGGGGGCTGCTCGAGACCGACAGGCTGGTCTCGCCTCCGCGCGCTGCACCGGGCATTCGGGCAAGCCCTCGACCTTACTGATTCCGAATCTTCCGAACGCAATTCTCATGACTCTTGATCCATCCGAGTGTTCTCATCGGCTGAGTGGGGGGGAAAACATCCACTTTACGGCTGTAAACACCTCGTGCGAAGTCGTCGATTGATTGATAGATGTTGCTCCACAGGAACTCTGATCGATAACCCTAATCGTTTCTCTGGTCGTTGTCAAATGTCTTCTTCCCAATAGATGAGGCAATAATAGCCACTGCTGCTATCAGGGCAATCGTGGTTAGTTGCTTCCCGGCTTTTTACCAGCTTGTTCGATCAGCTCGTATAGGCTAAAGCAGGTGGGCTGGCTGTCAGACTTTGTGACTAGCAAGGTGGTGGTTGCGACGCTGCGCTGGCGGTCTGCTGGGTCGGATCGATTTCCGATAGTCTGTACGGCTGTGCTGCTGATTCTTTGATGGCTTGACGGAAATAATGTTTATGCTTTCATGTCTTTTTCTGCGGGAACTAGGTAGGCACATTCGATTACTAGGCCGCTCGACTGATGTGGAGAACGCAATGACGTCTGTGGAGAGAG